CTTTTATGCAATCAGATAACACAGTTGCGTATCGCTAGGTGACAAGAAATGATAAAAAAAATATTATACAAAATATCGGTTAGCAGACAATTTCGCCCTTACATATTCGCCCCAGCAAAAGTATATATTTATTAAATTAAATGAGACATATCATTGATGCACAAGAATAGTGACCAACTAAAACATTTCCATTTACAAGCTTATTGTGAAAATGTACAGCAAAATCCTTTATTGTGGAAAAATCTCGGGAAAAATTACATATTGTTACTTCTCAAAATGACCGATGGATAGCGGTTGTGTTCCGGTTCTATAAAGTCGCGAGTTATCGTTCAATTTTCGTCCAGAGTGACATTAATCATAATACGACAGTTTTATTAAAAATAAATTAAGAACATTATTTTCAACAGTAAAACAAGTTAGAACATGATTGTTGAAAAGGTCATTATCAATATGGTGTGAAATATACTTTTTGGAAGATCGTATTTTCTTAATGTTATCAAAGAAAACTGGTTATTGTTTGAATACAAGAGGAATACTGATGTTTATTCCTAAAAAAGATTTTAACATTGATGAGATTTACAGGAAAAAAGAAATTTTATAATAAATGCTCTCGAAAATCTATATTTTTGAGTTGTGTTACTATTCTTGTGTACGAACGATATACGAAACTATATATGGCAAAGTTTCTACAAATTAAAAAACAGTTATAAATATTAAAAATTATTAATGGGAAACCTTAATTGGTAGGTACACTTAACTTTTATATCTTTTAATTTACGACATAGCAAATAATTAGTTAGGAAATTAGACTCAATATATTTCTATTTCTTCAATAATTAGCAGGTAAGCTTTTCAAATTGCCTTAGGAATTGCTAAGACGTAGCCTGTAAATGACGACTCGTCTGGGCGCTGCAAGAAATGACCTTTGTGAGGGTAAAGAACCGTCGGGAAAGAAAATTGATACATAGTATTAAATGGGAATCTAAGTAGTTTGATAAGAAAATCTGAAGGGTCAGTCGAAATATCGAAAACGAGAAGGATTTAGACAAATCTGATTACTCATATTGAGTAGGCTAAAACTGACATTTATTGATGGTTAAGACGGTAATGTCAATAACATTGAATACTGTTAATAAATACGTTAGTTAGTTACATTCTACCTGAAAATCTGAATGGTAATATGTACGTCGAGTTTTTAAGATAGAAGCTTTAACCCTAAACGAGCAATTATCTCTTTTATTTATGCATGATGGAGCTCACCCGCACTTTGATAGAAGGTGTCGTAATTGGTTGAGTGACCATTATCCGAATCGATGCAATTTTAATCCTTTGAACTACACAGTTTGGTCGTATGTTAAGAGAGAATTGAACACATCACATTAATGACATCATAGCTGATCCTCAACCGTTTAGAAAAAAAAAAAGGATAGAATTGTGTATTCGTGAAAATAAAGGACACTTTGAACACTTACTCTGATTGATTGTTTCATGTTTTAAGTCAAATTTATTTTAATTTTCTGCTTGTAATTCGTTGTTTAATTAATAACATTAGCATTAGAATATTGTTATTGTATTTGGTATTTAATAAATAGGTAATTGTCTTTTAAAAATACTTTAAACCAGCATCATCTTTTTCAAACCAAAATATTCCGAAAACGGTACACAGTATTGCATTTTACCAATGGTGCGTTTGATTTGATCATCGGAGATCTCCGATCGCTGCAAACGTGTTTGAATCACCAGTAATCACAGTCATGGAGTATGAGAGCGAAGCGGGCATTTGTGGTATATGCTGCATTTCAGAACCATTACCCCTTATTATTAAAAGTTTTTCAATTTTCTTTACTTTTTGCTGACTATTTTGACACACAAACCAGAAACAAGAATCACAAAAAAGCGAGGTTATGTTTTTCACTCTGTTTTATTTAATTTGATTCAATGGTCTATTGTGACATCATCACTTCTCGGTCTCCTCGACGCTCGCTCGATCGAGTTTCAAATCAAACGCCCCTCAAGAGTACCTTTTTGATGTAAAATTGAATGGTGTTTAAGATCACATTAAATTTGTATTAGAAAATTAATCTCAAAAAATTTATGTTTAAAACTACTCGAGGCAGACTATACTTTATCTACGACTATAACAATAAATACTAAAAGTACATTTTCTGTAAACTTGTTAACGTTTTTATTGATAAACCAATCTTAAAAATTTTTGTATACAATTTATTCCATTTGGCTGTTTCTTTTTATAAAATAAACCAAACTTTCTACAGCTGCATTACAAAAATGGTTAGATTAGCTAACTTACATAATGATCTTAGGCTGTTTTACATTCCCTTTTTATAATTCAGTTATAATGTTAATGTTTTTACTGTTTATTTTTTTTAAATCTTGAATAACATATTTTATTGTTTTAAATGTAGCGTTTAACCATATCTAAAACGTGGAATTAATGGCGTAGAATGAGTAAGTATATGGGAAAGCAGTGATAGGACATTCAAATGATGGGCACAATAAGCCACAGGCTGCAGTTCCATCACAATTTTAACGGATTGGTCTGAAGGGAGGAACACAAAAAAAACCCTGGTAAAAAGTGGGCCATGGCTTAAACTGAGGGAAATGGTATAGCCAAAAGACCAATAGTTGGAAGTTCACTGGCCTACTCTTCAAAAATGTTTGTCTGTTATGCTACTTTTCGCGATATATCACAAGAAAGCGCCTATTATTGATAAATAACATTCTGTTGAGAAGTATATGTTTTAGTATAATCTGGAGTTATCACGTTATGTCAAGCCAGAATTGGTAAGAGAAGCACAAAGATAAAAAAAGTAAAAACATAAACAGACCTTTCTTTTTAACTTCATTTTTTGTACACAAGTAGAGGCCAAGCTTATGTTAGATAAAAAATTTACCTGGAACCCCTAATTTGAAAAAAACCACTAATAAAGCCAAATTCCTTTAGAACTGTATGAAGCAAAGCATGGGGACCAAAGGAAGGCCAGAGCAAAGCTGGTTGGAATTCAGCAGCTTGCGTTCCTCGCAATCACTGGTGTAATATTAACCAAACCATAGAGACCATGTTGAAACTAACCCTTCTCCACATTTTGTCAGGATGGCCTCCCATATACTTCTGAAGGTATGAAATCAACGTAATGAAAAACTGCGATTGGACAAGACGGGGATGATAAGTGAGATTAATAACTACCACATCCGCGGCATGATCACAGATTCTCTAGTTCCTCGATAGCACATAGAAAAGTCATACAGCGTTCTCATTCTAGAGGGAGACGTATGGAACAGAAAGGATAAAACTCTCTCCCTATGCGCTGTACACGGATGGCTCTAAAAGTGAAAAAGGAGCAGGAGCAGGATTTTTCGGCCAGAAGGCAAGAGTTGATACAATAATAAACCTGGGCTCTTTGGCTACGATCTTTCAAGTAGTATAGCTTTAGAATTGGAAGCGAGAGAGTTGATTCATTTTCTCACAGCAATTTGGATTTGGAACTGTATAAATCGAGGGCAACGAAAAAGTCGAGTTCATAGAACCATAACTATTTCTGGGCATTGCAAAGAGCACTGCCAAAGGATCTATCTCAAAATTGATGGAGATATGTCCCAGGGCTAACTGATTCGAAAGCGTTAATAACCAACCCTTCTATGAACGCATCTGCTCAGATCTGGGAACGGAGTAGGAAAGGTTTACGCATTTCAAGGGCCTGATAACAAGATATTGTCGTCTAGATAACCACATGAGAAGGATACAACAAACATCAGACTGTGGATTCTGCAAAGTGGAAGACGACTAGAGTCTACCTACTTTATACAGCTCTTACCCAATTCAACAATGGCCTTTATCAGAAGGTGTGGCTTGTACGGTGAGACATCTGAGTTGCAGATAAGGCGATGATATCATCGCATCTATTTTCAACTTATTCTAACTAGGCCCGGATTTAAATTGTTAATTTTATATCTTTCTTATTTTTGAGTTTTTTTAAACAGGTTATTTAAAAGAGATTTATTTTATCGATTTGTAACTTGTACACACAGTTAAAAAATATCAACTTAGGATTCACCCTATCCAAATATTCCGTAGGAGCAGCCAATTGAATCTATTTGGGCCCTCATTGACTGAGAAAATTTAAAAATGGTTTGGAACACCAAAATGACCAATTTGGGTAAATCATATTTCAAAAAATTAGAGAAATTAAACGACCTAGCAGCAATTTAATTTCCATTTGACAAACATGTTTATCGATCTTTAACCTAAATTATGTACTCTTGTTAGCAACTTATAAAGTGGTTAGGTTTCGATATACAGGAATGAAAATTTGAAACCGGTAAATAAACCTTACATAAGAATGAACAAGGTATGATAGGAATATGTACATAATAAGACATATATAATATACAATATCTTTGTGCTATAGCATTATAGATATTTGTGAAATTTTAAAATTGTAATTTTTAATTTTAATGAGTTTTCCCGTAAGTAAATAAATAAACTTGTAGGAGAATAAGTTTAAAAAACTGTTGTATTATTTACTAATTAAACATTACCTATATACCATGTGACTAAATTAGTTTCACCAGTTGGTTAAAAGTAAAATGATGCATATCAATTTCAAAACAATTCCACTGACGTATTTGAAGTTGTCATAGAAGTAAATAAAAAAGGATATATTAAATATCTTGTTTTATATAATCACGTGGAACATGGACTTTGTTGACTTTATTAAAACCTTTTTGTAAGTCAACGAAAGTATGTAATTTATTCGCAAATTTTTATCACTCTTAGGCAAAAATGTTCAACGCTTTTTTATTATTATTTACCTCTAGTATACCTCTTAAAATATAAGTACCCATACAGTTTACACCCTGTATAATGATTATACTACTCTAATTATTATCTCCATCAGTTATATGTAGCTACACATTTTAAAACACATATAACTTGACTCTAGGTTGCGCTACTGAAATTAAGTAAATAAGGTTGTTAATTATTATGGCCCATCTTTCGTTTTATGTCTATGTACCTTTAGATAATTTTCTATTGTTGAAAAAGCATGAATATGTATAAAAAAGCATGAGATATAATGGAAATCCAAACGAACGAACGAATGCTATCAAAATAGTCATAATGCGCTCCGCTCTATTTTTATTAATAATTACTGCCATTGTGGCAACAAGTGTTGTATTAGCGCAATCTGATACTGTAACAGAAGGTAAGTGAACTTCTAAATATTTTGTTTTTAAATCAAACTCATTTGATTATTTGAAATGGATTTAATTTTTACAGAATTATACCGCTTTGTTAATTCTTTAATTTTTATACCTACTTCACAAGGACATTAAATCAATTATTTTTCAATATATATTTAAAATATATTTATTTTTTATATCGTGCATAAAGTGTTAAACGTTTTCTCTAACCCATAGCCGCATTCTATTTTCTTTCCATTTCAAGTAAATAATAATTAGCTTTTCTATTTAGTTTGGTTAAACATATATTAATTTATAAAGAAGAAGAATGTTCGGAAATGACAATGCAAAAATCATTATTCTAATATCTTTCATTCATTATTATTTACTTTTTTTACTAAATTATTGTAAATATTTATTTATTTATAGTTTGCATTTCAGAATATGCAGAACTTTTGCAAGGAAATATTTTAGAAACGACTGTTCAACCTGAAGAAATTGAAAATTCTACAACCGTTGAAGAAATTAATATCGAGAAAAACCAAACTAGCACAAATAACACCCAAAATAATATTGATGTGGATACTCGAAGTGAAGCAAATGCTGATAATGCTGCAGGTAAAGCACCTGTAGATATTCAAACTGACGTTGTAGACAATGTTACTGAGGATTCACAAACTGATTCATCAACTGATTCATCAACTGATTCATTAACTGATTCATCAACTGATAATGCTCAAAATGCAGCTGTAGACAATGCAGTAGAAGATGTCCAAAATGATGTAGCATCTGAAAATGCCCAAATTGATACTGAGGAAGCAGTTGTTACTGATAATGTTCAAAATGGGAATGCAGTAGATAATATACAAAATAATGACAAATCTCAAAATACACACAATAATGTAGCCGAAGATGTCGAAAGTAATGTTGTTTCCGACAATCCTAAAAATGACCAAGCTGAAGATAATACTGAAAATGGTGCATTAGCAGAGAATATCGAAAATGACGTATCTGCAGGTAACGTACAAATTGATGAACCTAAAAATGTACAGAATGATGTAACTACAGATTCTGCAATTGATAACGCTCAAAATGATATCAATGTAGATAATGCCCAAAATGATGATGCAACTGAAAATACTCAAAATGATGTACCTGTTGATACTGCCCAAAATGATGCTTCATCTCAAAACACAGAGAATGGTGTTACCGAAGGGTCTCAAAGTGATATTGCTGCTCCAGAGAATACACAAAATGATGCATCAACAAGTAATAACCAAAATGGTGTCGCACCAGAGAATGTTCAGAGTGATGCTGCTGCGGATTCTTCTATAGATAATGCTAAAAATGACGTGCCTACCGATATTGCTCAACACGACGCTACATCTCAAAACACAGAGAATGGTGTTGCTGAAGAATCCCAAAACAATAACCAAAATGATGCTGAACCAGAGAACGTTCAGAGTGATGGTATTGTAGATACTGCTGTAGATAGCGGTCAAAATATTCTTCCTACGGATAAGTCTCAAAACGATGCTAAATCTCAAAGCACAGATAATGGTATTGCTGCCCCAGAGAATACACAAAACGATGCCTCTACAAGCAATAACCAAAATGGCGTTGAACAAGAAAACGTTCAGAGTGATGCTGCTGTAGATAATTCTGTAGATAACGGTCAAAATACTCTTCCTACAGATAATGCTCAGAACGATGCCACATCTCAAAGCACAGATAATGTTGTTGCTGCTCCAGAAAATACACAAAACGAAGCTTCTACAAGCAATAATCAAATTGATGTCATATCAGAAAACGTTCAGAGTAATGCTACTGTAAATACTTCTGAAGATAAAGTTCAAGATAATTCTTCTACAGATAATGCCCAGAACGATGCTACATCTCAAAACAAAGATAATGGTGTTGCTGAAGAATCTCAAAGTGATGTTGCTGCTTTAGAGAATGCACAAAAGGAAGCATCTACAAGTAATGCTGGATCTGAGAATGCACAGAATAATATTGATGCAGATATTCAAAGTGACATTGTTTCTAGCAATACTCAGAATAACAATGACGTAGATAATACCCAAAATAGTGCCGCACCGGAAACTGTTCAGAATGATGTTGCTGCAGATAAGCCTGTAGATAACGGTCAAAATGTTCCTACAGATAATGCCCAAAACGATGTTATATCTCAAAACATAGAAAATGGTATTGCTGAAGAGTCCCAAAATAATGTTGCTGCTCCAGAGAATACACACGAAGATGACTCTACAAATAATAACCAAAATGGTGTCGAACCAGAGAATGTACATGGTGATGCTGCTGTAGATAGCTCTGTTGATAACAGTGAAGATGTTGTCCCTACAGACAATGCCCAAAACGATGCTACTTCTCAAAACACAGATAACGGTTTTGCTGAACAATCCAAAAGTGATGCTGCTACTCCAGAGAAAACACAAAACGATGCATCTATAGGTAATAACCAAAATAATGCTGCACCGGAGAACGTCCAGACTGATCCTGCTGCAGATACTTCTGTAGATAACGGCCAAAACAACGCAGCTGCAGATAATGCTCAAAACGATGCTGCATCTCAAAACACGCAGAATGAGGTTCCTGAAAATTCCAAAAATGATGTTGCTGCTCCAGAAAATGACCAAAATAATGACTCTACAAGTAATGCTCAAAATGATTCTGCACCTGAAAATACACAGAATGATGTTGCTGCAGATACCCAAAGTGATATTGATTCTGATAATACTCAAAATAATAATGAAGTACATAATACCCAAAATGAAGGTGCATCAGAGAATGACCAGAACGATGTTGTTGTAGACACGTCCATAGATAACGGTCAACACGATGTCCCTGCAGATAATTCCCAAAATGATTCTGCATCTCAAAACACACAGAATGATATTCCTGAAAATTCTCAAAGTGATATTGCTGCTCCGGAGAATGCCCAAAATGATGATGACTCTATAAATAATGCTCAAAATGATGCTGCACCTGAGAATACACAAAATAATGATGCTGCAGACACCCAAATTGATATTGTTTCTGATAACACTCAAAATAATAATGAGGCTGATAACACCGCAAATGATGTTGCACAAGAGAATATCGAGAGTAGTGATGCTATAGATAATACTCAAAATGTCAATGAACAAACTGCTGACAAAGAAAATATTTCTAATCAAAATAATAATGATGATCTGGATAGTGCTAATAACGAAAACGAAAATGAAAATGATAGTAATGATGGTGTAAATAATCAAAGTAACGAAGAAAATATTTCTAATGAAGACGACGATAATACCAAAAAAGAGATTGACGTTGAAGCCGACAGTAAAGAAGAAAAGAGAAAACAAAAAGAGCAAGAAAAATTGGAAAAACAAAAACAAAAGGAAGAAGAAAAGTTACAAAAAGAACAGGAAAAATTAGAAGAAAAGAGACAAAAAGAACTGGAAAAATTAGAAGAAAAGAGACAGAAAGAACAGGAAAAATTAGAAAAACAGAAACAAAAGGAAGAAGAAAATAGACAAAAAGAACAGGAAAAATTAGAAAAAGAAAAACAAAAGGAAGAAGAAAAGAGACAGAGAGAACAGGAAAAATTAGAGAAACAAAAACAAAAGGAAGAAGAAAAGAGACAAAAAGAACAGGAAAAATTAGAAAAACAGAAACAAAAGGAAGAAGAAAAGAGACAAAAAGAACAGGAAAAATTAGAAAAACAGAAACAAAAGGAACAGGAGAGGGAAGAGAGACAACAACAAAAGGAGGAGGAGAGGAGACAGAAGGAGGAAGAAAGACGCGAGAAAGAAAAAGAAAGACGTGAGAAGGAGGAGGAAAGGAGACATGATGAGGAGGAAGAGAGACGCGAGAAAGAAAAAGAAAGACGTGAGAAGGAGGAGGAAAGGAGACATGATGAGGAGGAAAAGAGACATGATGAGGAGGAAGAGAGACGCGAAAAAGAAAAAGAAAGACGTGAGAAGGATGAAGAAAGGAGACATGATGAGGAGGAAGAGAGTCATGAGGAGGAGGAAGATAGTCAGGAGGAGGAGGAAAAGAGACACGAGAAGGAAGAAAAAAGGCAAAAGGAAAACAAATTGAAAGAGCAAGGTGTTGAATTACCCTGGATTACTATCCTGAAAAGGAAACTAGAGGCTAGGAAAGCATATATAGGTAAGTAACTTTAAACAGTAACAAATTATTTTTTCCTACGACCACTTAGGAAAGTGACACATATCACACTATATAGTCCTATGGAAAGTGTCCTATATCACACGCGTATGACTAAGAATTTACTTTCCACCCAAGTGAGAATATGTTACTTTCCGCAGTAGTTGTCAAAAAATGTCAAACGCCTAATTTCTATTTTGATCTATGTAATGTCCATATTAATACTAAAATCGATATGATTGTTAAATTATTGAAATTGTTTTAAATTAGATCCTAGATATTTATCTTTAACAATTATTATTAAAATAATTTTAAAATAACTAAGATTATGTTTGCTCTTTAATTTGGGTAAATACATAACCGATTAGATCATTCAATTGACGTAAGGCCCATTAGCTCAGTTGGTTTAGACGTCGAACTTATCAACTTTGCCATTTTTTGACCGCGTTCAATCTATGGTTCAAATCCTGGCGGAGCCGAATTTTTTTTTTGTTTTTTTTTTATTTTTTATTAGTTTTTTTGTTTAGAAAATATGAAAATTGAATAAATACGATTATTGTTGATTATTTTTTTAAATACATTTTAATTAATATAGTAATAATAACCTTGGTTTTACATTTTTTTGATATTATTTTGTAAGCTAATTTCTATTTTGATCTATGTAATATCCATATTAATACTAAAATCGATATGATTGTTAAATTATTGAAATTGTTGTAAATTAGATCCTAGATATTTATCTTTAACAATTATTATTAAAATAATTTTAAAATAATGTTTGCTCTTTATTTTGGTTAAATACATAACCGATTAGATCATTCAATTGACACAAGGGCTGTTAGCTTAGCTGGTTAGGACGTCGAACTTATCAATTTTGCCATTTTTCGACCGCGTTCAATCTATGGTTCAAATCCTGTCGGGGCAGAATTTTTTTTTTGTTTTTTTTTATTTTTTTTATTTTTTTTATTTTTTTTTTATTTTTTTTAGTTTTTTTTGTTTAGAAAATATGAAAATTGAATAAATACGATTATTGTTGATTATTTTTTTAAATACATTTTAATTATTATAGTAATAATAACCTTGGTTTTACATTTTTTTGATGACATTATTTTGTGGTCGTAGGAAAAATATTGTACATCACTTGTGTGAAAAGTGATTTTCCACACTCGTGTGATAGTCGCACTCGGCTTGCGCCTCGTGCGACTATACTTCCCACTCGTGTGAAAAATGTCACTTTCCACACTCGTAATGTAATATACTATTTAAACACTACTACCAAAACATTTGTTTTTAAGAAATATGTCTTGGGGTATTTGTCTTCAGAACAAATTACAAAACCAATTAAACTTGGGTTAAAAATATGTAATACTTTTAATGTTCTAATGAGTTTCAAACACCTAAATAATACATTAATAATTATTTGATAATTCTGATATTTATACGCTCCAATAAAACAAATACCTTCGTCATCCACACTGAGGAACAAATTAAATTTGTAAATTTTTTAAACATTAATACCTTTTTAACTGTTGCACCTATTCAATTAGTTTTTGGAGGGTAGGTGAGCTAGTACGTTTTTTCTAGGAACCAATTTTGGTCGAAAAATTGTCGACGAAACTTGACTTTTTCTAAAATGCTGCATTTAACCTAGTGGCAAGAGAAATCAGATTTACCTAAAATTAAACTAATATGTTTTTTGGTAAATAAACTATCTGACATTCAATAATTTTGAGATTCTGGAAAAATTTTAAATCGAAAATGGTTCCTTGTAAATAGCCCACCTGGTCTCCAAAAACAAATTAAATAAACCCAACAGGTAAAACGTTATTAACTGTTATAAAAAATTTAATTTGGTCCACACTGTAGACATACCAATCATAATAAGATGAAAACAACTCATAATATTTTTTTTGTTCTAGAACTAATGAAAGAAAAATATGGTTTTGATGATGTATGTGACCATGAAGTTTGCCGACTAACTTGTGTGGTAAATGGTAGACATTCTGGATATTGTCAAAGAAGAAGAAGAACTGAATGTATATGTGTATAAAATGCCACTAGAATAAATGTTTAAATTGTTAAGGGATTGAAACTAATATCGAGACTGAATGTAATTAGTGTCTAGAAGTTACGTTACTGTTAATAGAAAAATGAATTTAAAAAATTAGAAAAATATTTCGTAATAACCCATTGTAATAATTTATGTTCTCTAATTTGTCCAAATTATGTATTTCAGCCATGAACCTAGAATAATAAAATTATTGTGAAAAATATTTTTTTAAATTGTAGGTATCTGTATAATAAAATTGAGTTAAAAAAGTATTTAATTTAATTTGTGCAAAATTAAAAGTCGACTCTGCCATTTTTAAAGAACCGAGTACCATATAAAAAGGATAATATTAACATTTTATTAAACGATTAAGCAATTTTATTTTTAATCATTTTAAAACTGATCCACAAGTAATTAATGGTTTTCTTGAATTAATAATATAATTTGCTAGTGATCAATATATATATATATATATATATATATATATATATATATATATATATATATATATATATATATATATCTACAAAGTATTACTGAGCCTCCCCCCATGTTAAATTTCAGGTTCACTGAAACTCCGCTGTTACTGGGCTTCCGATATACGGATCCCCAGTGACATCTCATTGAAAATTGTTCCAGATGATGTAGACACCCTAAAACACCCATTAACACAAAAATCTCGAGGACGCCCATTTGAGCCGTTTTTTGATGCTGTATAAAATATTAGTTCAGGCGTTCGCCGCTTAGTTGCGCTGCTAATATACATTTCGCTGTGTATAAGATGTTTAATGTTACATGTCAACTGGGCGCCTTAAGCTATTCGCTGCGCGCATTTGGTTTGGCAACGTTGCAGTTGATTATATATACGTACTAGGAGGCTCGCTGGTTTTGTCTTTCGACTCGGGTCATTTTAAAAATTAAAATGTATCAATTTCGATCTTGAACGCGACAAGTACTACAGAGCGCCGTAGAAAATAAAATGCCACAATAAACATTTTTGTTTTAGAAAATGTTTAATAATTTTTTGGTTGATATTATTTAAATAATATGGTTAGCACCTTGATTAGTACGTATATTTAGGCATTATTATAAAAGTAAATAAAAAGAAAATTCCAACTCAAATGTGATATATGACCAAGCCCTAAAATAAAATAAGTAAACTTTTTATTTTAATTTAGTTTATTTTCTCATAATTCAATATATCTTGTAATCATCTTGTAATGACGTCAATGACAGTATTTTATAAATAGAACACCCTATATTTTTACCAATTTTACAAGAACAAGTTACGTATTGTATCAGGGATCCTTACTGGGCATTGCCCACTCAAAGGACACCTTAAGTAAACTAAGAGTAGTAGAATATAGTGAGAAGATTCTGTGAAGAGGAAGACAAAACCTCCATTCACATTCTGACAATGTGTAGCACTCCCAAATCCAAGGATACTATACCTAAGAGCATATTAAATAGAAGCGTGATATTTACCTAACTTGAAGCCACACAAGGAAGATATGATTGAAAGGATCGTTGTAGGCATTGCGACATTTCCTTGCTGCATTAGCGACATAGGGGGGTACAATAAATATTTTAGGTCGTAGTGTTTTAGCACCCCATTCCCAACATAACATACAAATTTTTAAGCTTCCTTTTATTATGCTGATTTCAAAATTGTATCACCACTTGCTTCAAATTAATACAAAGAATTGTTTAAATTAGGTCGATTTTTATTCCAATTCTGACACATTTTTATCACATCCTAAACTGACACACAACATTCCCCTCTACTCCTTCACACTAACCAATACAATTTAAATAGAAAACGTACTAAGTATTACACATCAACGCATATGTAATTTAATGAATAATTTTTAGAAATGTAACTGTTTATAGTGTTACTTTTGATTTTAGCGCCCTTTAACACGATAAAACAGTGGTACGTATTGTTAAGTGTGACAGCTCATTTGAAAGCTTATTATAATAGTAATTTAATGTGCAGCATAATTTTGTTAATTTGGTTTATTGGGATTTTCATAACATTTACTTATTCTTAACCTTAATGGCAACAATCTATTTAAGTTCATGTTCCTTCGAATTAAGTTTTGTTACGTTGTCCTATAAATCAATAAAATTGACTTTCCACTGAAGTGTCGTATTGTGGATTATTCATTTTCATACATCCAAAATTAAAATATACCATTTCGAACTTTTCGTGTGGAATATAGAGATTTAAATAAATATAAGTATGCTTACATCTTTGAGACTCACGGTATGTACGACTTCCACCTCACTCCAACTTAAGTTCGTCCCTAATGGATTTCGCTTATATGGTCCGCGTTTAGATTTTTGAAGATGTATACGGTACGACTAGGCCTCCAGCTGTGTTAATTTTCAGGTTCACATAGCCTCCGCTCTCGATTATACAATGCGGATCTAAAGTCCCTCTACCTCCTATTTATTTTTTGAACCGTAATGAGATATGAACCCATAAAAATCTTTGATTTTAAACGAGCATAATACAGTGCCAAAGGTTAAATATTTGTGGTACACCAGTTGATAGCATTAAACATTTAAAACAAAGAATTCATTATGAGTAAAAAGAAAAAATATTTTAGTTATATTGATGTCATTGGAAAGGGTTTCAAATAATATATCACTTGCCATATGAATAATTATCTTCCAAAACGGCTCCCGTCTGCCATTTTTAATGATTACGTTACCTAATATAATTAAAAAGGTAGTGTACATTCCTTGGTTCAGTTTCCAAAAATTTCAAATAAAAAAAATATATTCAGGTTTAAAGATACTAAATGGGGCAGTATACAAGTTTGTAATAGGTACACAAAAATAAATAAATATTTTTTAATGAAACTGTGGTTCTTTGTATATTAAGGTACTATAAGATACGTTCCTAATATACACTTTATCTAGCGCTATATCTGTAGAGTGCGACTGGGCCTCCAGCCTTGCTAGTTTTCAGGTTTATTGAGACTCCGCTATCAATTATATACGAATTCTACAGCAGTCTCAGTTAACCTAAAAATAATTCATTTTTAAATATAGGAAATGGGAGAATATAAAAGTGTGTAATAGGTACGCAAAAAAGTGTTGAATATTTGCTACATAGGAGTTTGAATTTTTAGTTTTCTTTTTATGGCTTTTTTTTAGTGCAAATATGATAGACATGTTTATTTACGTGTTTGTTTTTATTTTTTCATGAATTTTTTATAAATAAATATTTTTTAATGGAACTGTGGTTCTTTATATATTAAGGTACTATATACGTCCTAATATATATACCTAAACTATATATCTCGCTATATCTATAAAGAGCGACTGCGCCTCCAGCCGTGTTAATTTTTAGGTTCACTGAGACTCCGCTGTTAATAATATATGGACTCTACAGCAGAGTCTTAGTGAGTCTAAAAATGAACAAGGTGGGCCCAGTCGTACCGTATGGATATATAATGAGAATGTTTACTCATCAGTAAGCTTTAAGGATTTTTTTTTTAATTCGTTTAAAAATTTATATTATGTAGTAAGAAACTATTAACAGATTTCTATAATTTTTTAACCAGTTTTAAATATACAGTGAGTCCACTTAAGTACGCAGTATATTAAAAACTTTTTTATTATTAAATTAACGAGAAAAAGTTATTCTTCATAAAAAGTTCTGCATTGTTTAAAACCTAAAACCATCAGATATTTTATTTTATAAATTATTTTTAGTACCTTCTGGTAATCTATGTAGACGTAAATGTTTCAATCTATATTTTTGTTCTTGTTCATCAAATTTATCATATAGATTTTTATTTTCTTTAAAGCGTACTGATATATTATTCATTGATGTGATTTTATAATTTACTTCTTTTAAATGTTCTTCAATTGTTGTTAAAACAATATCGGTCATTGTTTAGCTAGATCTTTTTAAACCTTATATGTAATAATAATATCGGCGAAAAATTTCTGAGAGGTATCTGTAACAACATTATTTAATTTTTTGTCATTTTGTAAACACCATTATTAAATTTATGAAAATAAAAATTTTAATTTTAAACTAGTATTGAGCAAAAAAGTCATTATAATATATACACACAAAACTTGAGAAGATTTAAAAAGAATAGAACTATTGGAATTGGTTTGCCGGCAGAAACGACGAATTCGCATACTACTCGCTAAGAAGGTTCATCTTCAACGGGTTATTATTATTTTAACTTAAAACATATGGTCTGCGTAATTAAGTTTTTCTTCCTTTTGCTAAATACATTATTAAAGCGTGGCAACAGTGCTTGGAGCCTCAGTAAATACGTTCTCTCTAGTTAGAGGAGGCGCATTAACATAAACAGCTTCAAAACATATGTCAATAGTATATAGTGGACGTTAAGTTGACCTATCCAACTAATGGTGGTTGAATTAGTCTTTACAAATAACGCTGTATATATTGGCGTATATACGGTGGAGTTTTGGTAGGCCATTTATGGAACGGAGTCCCAGTAATGCCACGTAGCTAGATATATATATATATATATATATATATATATATATATATATATATATATATATATATATATCTAGCTACGTGGCATTACTGGGACTCCATTCCATAAATGGCCTACCAAAACTCCACCGTATATACGCCATTATATACACCGTTATTTGTAAAGACTAATTCAACTACCATTAGTTGGATAGGTCAACGTAACGTCCACTATATACATTTGACATATGTTTTGACACTGTTTATGTTAATGCGCCTCCTCTTACTAGAGATAATGTATTTACTGAGACTCCAAGCACTGTTGCCACTTTTTAATAATTTATTTAGCAGAAGGAAGAAAAACCTAATTACTCAGACCATATGTTTTTATTTAAAATAATAATAACCCGTTGAAGATAAACCTTCTTAGCGAGTAGTATGCGAATTCGTCGTTTCTGCCGGCAAACCAATTGCAATAGTTCTATTCTTTTTAAGTCTTCTCAAGTTTTGTGTGTATATATTATAATGACTTTTTTGCTCAATACTAGTTTAAAATTAAAATTTTTGTTTTCATACATGTAATAATGGTGTTTACAAAAAGACAAAAAATTAAATAATGTTGTTACAGATACCTCTCAGAAATTTTTTGCCGATATTATTATTACATATAAAGTTTTAAAAGATCTGGCTAAACAATGACCGATATTGTTTTAACAACAATTGAAGAACATTTAAAAGAAGTAAATTATAAAATCACATCAATGAATAATATATCAGTACGCTTTAAAGAAAATAAAAATCTACATGATAAATTTGATAAACAAGAACAAAAATATAGATTGAAACATTTACGT